AGGATTTTCAACGAGCGCAGACAACGCAGCTCGAGGTGCTGATGCACGGAATCATCTATATCATTGCTGGTAATGGAGAGATCCAAGAGGTTCGGGCAGCATCGCAAGAAAGCGATGATCGTGGACATGCCCATACCTTTGAAATGGAGGGTGGTTAACTGTTCGAAAGGATTCCGGGGATCAGCCTGGAGATACGGGACATTATTTGTTTCGACTTCGCGAAGCAGTGGCGCATTGGGAATAATGATAACGGGGGCCGTCGACATCTCGCTGCGAGGCATGCGCGGAGCGTTGAGCGAGAGTCGCTCAAGGCGGGAAGGGTGGAAGTGTTGAGCTGGCGGAGCACATACATATACATCGGGAAACTAAGGCGGAGATCCTGCCACTGGGAACAATAGGATTTCATGATGTCCATGAGTATGCTCGCTCTCATTCCGTCCCTACAATCGAGGGAAAGGGTAAGCGGTTGATTCCGTGCACGCGAGAGCCACTGTTTCAGTAATTCTACACATCTGGTGTCGCCGAAAGAAATGCGGTCCATAGTTCTGGTGTATCCAGGCATATATCCCGCCATCGGCAACAATTTGAGCCAGAAGTAGAGGTGCTTCCTGCGGCGAAGGCCATGGGGCCCATGATGGGAGGTCGGTAGGAAGACAGTGCCTAAATATCAGGCCATAATTTCTGGTGGAACTGAAAGGATGGGCGATCCGCAAGCAGTGGACATCGTATGGTCGATATCTGGGCGTACAACATGCGAAGTATGAGCGCCCATTTTGTGGCAGCGTTCAATACAAATGCCTAAACTGGGCGCCAGGGATTTCCGATATTCAAGCGCTAATTTATGGTCAGAGTAGGTCAGAGATTGTGTGTTCACGAGACACAGGGAATTGGGAATTTAAATACTGACTGTTTTGGAATCGAACGAAGGAAACTAGGACCAGACGGTGGTAGATGGTGGTGTAGTAAGGCAAGGAGCGCGATGACGTAACACAGTTTGGAGGCTTCCATCGTTTCCAGGAACAACAAGCTACTTACACATATATGCAGATCCGTGGGTGTTCTCTTTTATCCAACCCGTAATGCGCGCGGGAAGTCGTGGAGCGGAGACAAATACGCAAGTATACTCCGAGTCTGGCTTTCTTTCTCTTTCTCATTTGCGATTTAAGGGAAAAGGCATATATACTCATCCGATAACAAAGCACGGAAGGAGAAACTAACAGAGACTAGGTTGTCGTAACTTAAATGGAGCGGAAGGCATCTTCGATACTTGGTGTCGTGTCGTATGGTCATAGGCGGAAGTAGAGAGCTGCACCAGTGCCGCTGGCAGTGCGGCCGTGCCCACCCATGACTTGAAGAAGACACCCGCCTCGAGCAGGAATGCGGCGCCGGCGGGGGAATACGCGCGGGAACATAATCACACAGAAGAGCGGGAAGGACTCGGTGCATCTGCGAGACAAAGGGAAAGGCATGTAATGATAATAAAGCAGGGATCCGGAGGAAGAAACTAACAACAAGAACAGGGACTAGGTCATCTTAATTTAAAAGTGGAAGGCTTCTTCGATGCTTGGTGTCGTAGCCCCATGGCCATACGTAGCAAGCTGCTGTGCGCCCGGCACACATGGGCCATAACTTGAAGGAGCCGCGTGCGGCGTCCTTGTTCTTGTCCTCGTCGCCCACCCCCGTGAATGCGTCAGCGCTGCGTCGACTCGCCGCCAAATGTACGATGGACAATCTGCTCCGGACTGGGAACACAACGCCGCATCGCCCAAACGCACCGCCGAATAAGATAAGGAAGGAGGAAGCGGGAGGAGGAAGACGAGGGTGACCCGCCGACCCGCCGACCCACACTATACGGAGCATTTCCCAATCGGTCGCCGATCGCGAGTGCTGTGGGCTCCGAGCCACCGTGAGATGTACGTTCCCCTCCCGCCTACGGATGCACAAACGGCCGGCGGCTCGACCCCGACGCCGCCGACGCACAGGGAGCGGGATGAGGGGCGGGACGGACAGGACGAAGAGCATGAAGGGCGACGCTTGCGCCAGCACACGAGCGAAGTGTACCACGGTGCAGTCCAAAAAAGAAAAAGAAAGCCGAGACAAGCTCGCGAGTCAAGTCGTGCGCCTACGCCGACGCCGCCTCGACCCTCGACGAACGAAAGAGCCTCGGTGTATCCCCGCCCTCCTCCCTCTCCCCTTCCTTTCTCCGACCCCGCCCACGAAAACAAAAAGAAAACCCAAGAAAAAAAAACTCCACTCACGCGCTATCATCCGTACTCCCTGTGCTCCCACTGCTGAGGCTGCGCGCACCCGCGCCCATACTACTTCCGCGAGTCAAGCCCATATTCAGCGATATACCCAGCTCAGGCCCGGGGCGCCGTCCGAGCGCGAGGCCGAGGACGTCGGAGACGGCGCGCGGGCTCCCGCTGGTGCTGCGTATGCCTCCTTGCTCGTGCGGCCTGTTGGGGAACGCCAACCGGTGCGAGAGCGCATAGCCCGCCTCGAGCGGGAACGCCCTGTGGTTGTGGTGGTCGAGGTCGATGCGGTCGAGGTCCATGTCGAAGTGGTGGTGCTCGAGCGGGTGCCCGCCGTACACCGCTGGCTCTTCTTCGTACCCATACCCGCCTTTGACACCCCGTTCGAGCGGGAAGGGCGGGAAGGACGGGTCGAAGCTCCCGCGGCGCGAACCCGAGTCAGAGGTGGAGGTGTACGCGGAGGAAGGCGGGCAGTCGTCCGCATGGCCGTGGTACGCCGAAGCAGGGACGGGGTAACCGTATGAGGAAGCCTGGGTGTCCAGCAATAACGACCCCGGCAAAGGCAGGGACGCGGGGAGGGAGAACCTCTTCGCGGCGCCGGTGGGGAGGTGTGCGTTGAGCGGTGCGTGGACGTGGGGGTTGGCGTTGGTGTACCCACTGTGGTGCGCGCTACCGTTACCGTTAATGCTACCGTTGGTCGACGGAGGCAGCCCCAACCCTAGCGGGACGCAGCTCGAGAGCGGCTCGAGCTTCACGCCTATAAGGACGAGGCGGAGGACCCCGCGCGCGATTTGGTCTGCTTGTTGGGCCCGCGCACGCGTCCTGCTTGTACGTATTCGCAGGGCAGGCCCCGCGCGAGGCAGCGCGAGCAGGAAGGGTGTTCGCCTGAGCACTGTGGATCATAGGAGGGAGAAGTGAGACATGCGAAAGGAAGAGAGGAAAAGACGAGGAAAGGAAAGACAAACCTTCGCCTTCCTACTCCTACACTTCTCGCATGCCTGTGCGGTGCGCAGCCTAGGATGCTCCGGGGTGCGGTAGAAGATACCTGTGGCAGGGTCGAGGCTGCCTCCGATGGTTATACGCGGTGCGAGTAGAGGGTCACGTCGAGGGGGTGAGGGTCAAACGGCCAGCCTGTGCTGGGGGGAGTATAGTCGTAGTCAAAGTCGGGGTACATCGAGTCCATTCTGTTCTGTTATGTTGTTGTGGGAGTAGCGAGACAAGTCAAAGTCTAGGAATTTGGTACGAAAATCGACTCTTACTGGTGTCCTAATCGGGCGACCGAAGAGCCTAATTTGTTATTTGACGCTTTTTGATCCGCGGATGGAGATCACTCTCGGTTATGTACTCAGCGGCCGGTGCCTTTCCTCCTCATTTCTTCGAACCTTGGAAGCCAGCGCCAGCCAGTGACCAAACGACCAACGACCCAACGAAAAAGCCACCCAATCTCAGCCTACCGGCGACCCAGCACGTAATCAACTCACCGCCGTCCACTTTGAATCACCACCGAGCCGAGCAGCGGTGCCTTCTGGCTTCTGCGCCTTCCCTTCCCCTTCCCAAAACCTTGCCTGCTTTCAATTATCCATCTCTTCTCGGCGCCCGTCTTTGTGACTTGGCTTGTCACTTATTTCTTTGTTACTTACTTACGCCCGAGTTTAAATGTTTCCTCCCTGCAAATCGGGTGCCATAATCCGAATCCCAGGCTAATTTTCAAAAGGTACCTTACCAAAGTATGAGGTAGAGGAACGACTTCGCGGGAGGTCCTGGCGAAAGGGTAGGTCACCGTCTTCCGTACGTGGATCCTCTCCGTTCAAGTTAATTAGTGAAATTGAATTTATTTAATAGATACTTACAGAATGGGTGGAGCGAGCGAATGAAGATGGTCATACGTAGGTAAACAAGTGAGACGGTGCCGATCGGTACCCCCAAATGTTGAATTAAATTCCCGTGCAAACGTAAGTGCGACAGGGCGATCTCCCTCGCCTTGTCCTTGTCAAATTCGACAGCCGTATGTATCTATCTTCCTTCGAGGTTCGAGACCACGACCCCGGCCTGTCGTGAAACAAATGGAGAGTAAAGGTCTGTCGTGAAACAAATTTAAATGAAAGAGAGTAAGGTCTGACTGCGGTGTCGCAACTTTTACTCAGGCTCCCATTATTCATTACGCATTACCCAATATGCAGAAAAAACTATGGTACTTGGTTGGCTTGAAAACGAGGAGGGAAAGCGGACGTGGTGCACGGTGCACCGCTGCATTAAATGTTGTGCAACCACCCCAGAATAAGATGCAGCTACTGGGATTCGACTCCCCGCGTCAACATTCCGCCTGTTTGTCCATTCTTTTTGCTTACAGTTCTATGAATTTTATCTGACTTACAAGATGGAGGAAGTAGAGGTAGGAAGCGGACGTGGTGCGCGGTGCACGGCTGTACTTGATGTCAAAGATACCTACCGGATTTGTGCGGCTGTTGGGGTTCGACTCCCCACGTCCGCATGGCTGAATATTCTCCATTCTTTTTTCTCACAGTTGAACTAAATTTTATTTAACTTACCGCGAGAATGAAAGATGGTGTACAGCGGACGTGGTGCACGGTGCACCGCTGTACTAAATATGTTGGCCCGAAGTTATATTTGATGCAGCTGTTGGGGTTCGACTCCCTGCGTCCGCATGGGTCGAAGATGATAATGTTTTTTCTCACAGTTTAACTCAATTTGAACTGACTTACCACGAAAAGGAATTGGAGGTAAAAAGCGGACGTGGTGCACGGTGCACTGCTGCACTCAATGAATAGTTGGTAGTTCAATGCATCGAATGCAGCTGTTGGGGTTCGACTCCCCGCGTCCGCATTCCGCCTGTAGTCTCCACTTTTTTATCTCACAGTTCAATTTAATCTCCCTTATAAGATGGAGCAGGGAAGGGTATGAAGCGGACGCGGTGTACGGTGCACCGCTGTACTCAATATATCTTGTCGCAGTGACACTTGATGCAGCTGTTGGGGTTCGACTCCCCGGATCCGCATTATTCCGCTGTCTGAATTTTTCTCTCTCTTAGTTCACTCGATTTTATCTGACTTATCACGAGAAGAAATACAGGCAAGAGGCGGACGTGGTGCACGGTGCACCCCTCCATTAATTCGGAGGGAATATATATAGTCAAAGGAGGTGTTAGGGTTCGACTCCCTGTGTCTGCATGTTTCGTGCATATTGAAATTTTTGTTCTTGTAGTTCAACTCAATTTTTGTCACCTACAAGGAAAAAGAATGAGAAGGGAAAGCGGACATGGTGCATGGTGCACCGCTGCACTCAATATTTGAGTGTCCCCGGTTCTTTGATGCAGTTGCTGGGGTTCGACTCCCCGCGTCCGCATTGTGCCATTTCCTCGGAGTTTTTTTTTCTATCGCAGTCCTTCAATTTTATCTGGCTTACAAGAGCAGCAAGAAAGGGTAAGAAGCGGACGTGGTGCATGGTGCACCGCTGCACTCAATAGGTAGTTGGCAGGGCGAATATTTGATGCAGCTGTTGGGGTTCGACTCCTCGCGTCCGCATTGTTCCAGCTTCAATTATTTTGCAGTTTAATCTATTTTTCTAACTTACAGCGAGAAGGAGGTAGAGGTGTAAAATGTAAATTTAAATTTAATGATCGCGCATATACAGCAAGTACCTGTATTTGATATAGGTTGACTGTTCGCCCACTCATTAAACATTGATGTCACAGACCTAAAATTATTTCCTGGTGGAGCTTCAGCTATCTGTTTACAGTATAGCAGTACCGACTTGGGCGCGGCCAAAAAAACTCCCATTTGGGATGTTCTCAAAGAATTGCCCATAGGTCTGCCAATTGTGTGCTACTCAGCTGCCCAGACAATTTACTTCCTTATCGAAAGCTGCTCACTGGAAGTTCAACATTCTCAGAGCAGGAGTCTGCAGATATCCCAGCCATCCTTGCTGATGCTACGCCTGAGCGACCAAACTGATCATTTGAGTGTAAAGCGCAGCCAGGGAAACAACAATTTAAATAGATAATGGCGAAAAAACTATCTTCGCTAGACCAAAGTCAAAATCCATGCGAGCCCTCTTTCCCCGTCATCCCAAAATTTGTTCCATTCTCGGTGTTTGCAGTTGAAGTTGGGTTGGCATTGTACGAAGGAATCGTGATCATAGCGTGGCTGGTTGAAAACAGTTCCTCCCTGACGTGGTCACGGGAATTGAGACTAATGACAGAGCTTCGGTAAGTTCATAGGTGGAATTGTGGAATGACCGTACATCGACATGAAGCTCAATCCATAGACTAAGAGAACGGTGTGAGTGGGCAAACAAAAACGTTTTTGAGAGACCTACATCGAACGAGGATGAAGAAGAACCTGAAATTATTTAATATTGACGGTCATGAATCACAACACGGAGCGTACGGAGCATATACTAAAGTCGAGGGTAAAACAATAAACTGTAGGTGATGTCAATAAAAATGAAGTGTTGCAGGAAATGAGCTTACTGTCACAAGGTCGCAAATTGCGAACACACTCGTCAATGCGCCACTGTTCAGTGAGTACGCGGCGAGGAGATGTATTGCCTTGTTCGTCCTAGATTGGCGCACGATATCAGTATTATGCGGGAAAATATATATAGAAAAGGCGCTACTTCTGGAAGCCACTTTTGTTTCGCAACAAATGGTATATCATGGCACCGGCAATGAGAACATCACAGGCCACTTCGAACGCAAGACCGCTGGTGGAGTAGGGCTAGGAAAATCAAGTCAATATTCACACTGAGTAACGACAACGTACGACGTCGGCCTTTGCATCTTTGAAGAATCTGACCTGGAAACTTTGTATCGCTATTGAGCCTCTAGGTTTTTCGCACGCGGGATAACTCACGCTTTGTGCGTGTAAGCGATCCCGAGGGCTAGTAATTGTTCATCTATGAGCAATTGATGAAAATTCAGAGCTAGGGGCCACACACCCAACTGGCCAAGCGAGAAGATTCCCTGCGGCCACATTAATTTGGGACACATTCTTGTGTTTGAGGCAACCCACGATTATTACCGGGAACACAAGAGTTTTGTTGGAGATGGTGTAGATGCGGAAGGCATAGAAGAACTGCACCAGGGTGGCCAAAAAAACTAGCAGAAAGTTAAGGAAGTGCGTGACCATCCGCCCTGATACATTCATACCTCCAACGACGACTTCAACCTTTTTGCAGTACGGGTGCGTCAGATAAAGAAAACACAGGGTCACGCATAGTGCTTACAAGGAGACTCCTGTGTAGTACTTCACCATTAGGGCCCTTCTATGAACGGATATACTCACCACGGCGCCTGTCCTAATTCAACGTAGTCACCGAAATTGGTGACCGTTGTAGAATAGAATGAATGAGAAAGTAAGGCCAGATGCAAGGTGTCCAATGCCATGAGAAGTGCCACCTTGAGTGAGTACGCCCGCTAAATGGGTGAATGGTAGTGTGTTTTTTGGTACGTACAAAGGATTTTAAGAAAACTGCATCGCGCGAGCAATGTTTCGTGAAGTAGAGATACACTTGAAGGGAAGTCACTCCGAACAACCTAAAGTAAAATTGACAGTCGATCCGGAGATTCGAACGACTGGCTTACACTGAAGACACGATGAGCCCAATGAACCAGGCCCCAAGCGTATTGTCGAGGGGAATAAGGCTGGCTCGGGAAAGGATGATGTTGTACATGGGATCAAACATCGCAAAGCTTCCAAACACCCCATTGCTCCTTGCCTTTTGAGCTCTCTACAATGATGAGACCGTCATGATTTGCAAGCCTTTGTCCCAGAGTTATTTTTGAGATAATTGGGAACCGCAGATTGTGACTCTTGCATCAATAAAGGTGGACCTCTGTTTTGATGTCTAAGTCCCCGAGAATCCCGCATGAAATCGAGTAGACTCTAAAGAGATTGGTGAGACCTCCCTATCCCCGATGTCTTTAGTCGGAAGGGAACCAAACCTCTGGACCGGATGGCGATAAGAAGCACCATGACTCCCCGATCTACGAGTTCAACGCGCGAATGCCGTGTTGGAGATGAGTTTGCCTACTGAAGCCGATTCATTCCACTATTCCGTCCAGCCGGAATAACAATGGACTCACGGTAGTATCTCAAATTTTGGCTATCGAACACGTTAATATCAGTGGTGTCGACCAGCATATCCGCGACCGTGCTTTGAAATTCTACCTACTGACCGCCCATTTTTGATGGCCGGCTCTTAGATTATGCTTTTAGGGTTCACAACATCTGTGTAACAAATAAAGCTTGTCAGACGGGTCAATTCACCTTGTAGCCTTTCCAACATAGCTTCTGCACCAGTTTTGAGTAGTTTTCGACGTGTTTATCAGTTGTTTGACGTGTCAGAATTAAATCTGGGCAGTGAAATGGCAGCCTTGATGCTGCTTCTTTACCCATACCAGAAAGTTCAATTGAACTGTTCTGTTTAGAGCGGCGCGAGCATAGTGATCTTTATTGAGGTCAAGGGCGTGACGTAAGTGCTGAAACCGAGAAGGGGGCGACAGACTCACATAGGCATGATACCAGTCTGTGAGAGCAATCATGGACCGACAAGGGAGACTGAGCATTTGACTGATGAAGTTACTCTGAAGTTGAACTTTACATAAATTGTTTGACGCGCATGTCTTCTTCACTGTCGGGCGAGATTTCGCAATTGTGGATCAATGACAATCGACGCGAGCCATGTACAGCTGTATCAGTTTTTTTGGGGCGTTAATCTTCCAGTCATATCTTCAATCGTCCTGATTAGGTGACCAGATAGACAGGTGACCGTCTGTCTAGAAACTGTTGTGTCTAGCGACAGAATTACTTTCGCTAGACAGGATGGTTACGAGTGTAGTCCTATTGACGCCAACGTACTTCTCTTCAGACTTGGGAGTTTCTTTGGTTGGACCCAGGTGGAATGAGGTGGAAAGTTGAGAATTCATGGCCGCGTACTAGATCAAAACAATTTTGTTTTGACCAAATTAATATTGACGAGGATGAAATATCTCGTTCACCAGATTTTCAGCTCCGTGTGGCACTTTTTGGACAGAGTGGCGCAGGGGGCCTAATTGGGGCCTGACGGCGGACTTCGACGGAGATGATGGATGGTAAGAGTGGAGTAGAGATTGGATTGCCGATGGAATGACTTGATAACCGTGGGCTGAAGTGCTGAATGATCCTACTTAAAATAGTATTTCACCGCAATGTGGTCGCCGTTTTGTAATTCATCCACATCTACCACCTCGCTGCAATTTTCATGGATCATTTTGGTTTGCACCACGCCGAGTACTATCGCGGCATCCTTTTCCTCACAACCAACCGCGTGCAGGCGTTCGACGAGGCATTCCTCTCCATCGACCTGGGAGGCGCCGCGCGCGCATTGACAGCTATGGCGCAGATTCATCACCAAGGCAGGCGTAAACCACCCAGATAGCGATGCTCGGCAAATACTCTCGCATCGCCGTATATTGATGAGCAGCAATTAAGAATGCGATGTGCATGGCGATCCTGGTGACCTGGTCGCACTTGGGTGCGGTGAGGCGCTTGGAATGCATCATTTCGGGAGACGCTCGAAAGGATGAATTTATTCAGTGAGAAATTTCAACAGATGGAAGAAGTGCAGGTAAGTATGCGAATCGGAATGAGCTTGAGGAATAGTAACCCAGGTACAATTTTACGTCCAAATCAGCGGATCTCGAAAGCGAAGTGAACTTACAGGTTCGCGAAGCGAGGATATACCTGACAATCTAGACCTGCATCTAATGAGCTAGCCATGCAGAAAGAAGGTCATATGTCTACGGCATCTCCTTATTTGTGCGTGCAAATCGCAGCCCACGCGAG